GCGAGGCGCGGCGGAGGGAAGGACCGACGACGCGGGGGGCGGCGACGACTCGACGAGGACGTTGACGACGCGTGGGAGGACTACGAGAGAGGGAGGGGGACGATGGACGTGGACGGCGAGTGGCGAGACGCGGAGCGGCGAGAGGTGGGAGAGGCGCGGGGCGGGGCCCGGGGATGGGTCGATCCGCCGCCGCCGCCGCCGCCGCGGAGGGCGCCGCTGTCCGTCGCGCCGTCGCTGCCCGCGTCGATTGGCGCGGTCGAGGAGGAGAACATGGAGAACGTCCGACTCTCGCGCGGCGGCGGCGGCGGCGGCGGCGGCGGCGGAGGGAATCGATCGCCGCCGCCGGAACACCAATAGCGAGCGTCCTGTTATGTTAACTCATCGAGGCGAGATCGTCGTCGCTACACGGAATAGACTAAGGTGCGTTCTATACACTGGTCCCCATACGACCGCGTTGGCGAGGTGGACGCCGACCCTTAAGGACTTTTGCCGGCGCATCTCTCCGCCCACCCCTCGCTTTCAATCCCCGCCATCGATGCCTTTCAACTCCAACTGACGCCTTTGAATTCCACCCCGACATTCGCTTGTATAGAACTACACCCCTAAGGTAAATCTTAATACGTCCGCTACACGCCCAACGCGGGCGCGCCGTCCTCCGCGACGGTCTTGTGATCCCCCGGCATCGGCTTCGTCTCGTACACCGCGGTGACGATCATGTCGCGTCGGTTCCCGGTCCCCTCGCCGCGCAACCCCACGAAGAAGATCTCCGTGACGCCGTCGCCTCCCCCCGTCTCGCCTCTGAAGTTTCGCGGAAAGTGCAGCGTGAGACTCGCGCACGCCTGGAACTTCGTGAAGTCGGTCTGATACTCCAGCACTCCGTCGAAGTCCTCCGCGAGGTCGAACGACTGCGTCGGCGTCTTGCGCGACGCGTTATCGCAGTTGATATCCCCCGGGGCTTTGTTCACGAAGACGTTCAGCCGCGACGGCGCCGCGCCGGCGGTGGTCAGCCCCCCGATCACCATGATGCCGCGAACCTTGACGTCCGAGACGAACGGCACGTGAACGATGAGCTCGGGGTCGTCGTCGTCCGAGCGCAGCGGGACGACGTCGCGGTTCAGACGGTCGTCCCTGCGCGCGCGAAGGGACGGAGGGAGGAGGGAGTCAGGGAAGGAGGGTCGGGGGGTGGACGCGAGGCGCGCGCATCATGTCGACTCCGGGGAAAAAACGGATCTGAGGGGATCTGACGGGTTCGAGCGCGCACCACGGTCGGAAAACCCTCTGTGCCGCGTCGTCGTCCTCCGCGTTCAGCGCGGTGATGCGCGGGTGGTTGACGTACCCGTGCAGGGAGCTGCCGCCGCAATCCGACCCGCCGCAGTCGTGGTCGTGCGAGCACGTCTCCATGATGGTCTGACGGCTCCGAGAAAAATTGAAGCCGTTTTATGCTCGTCCGCGGCACACGCCCTGCTCGTCACACACACATCTCCGCGCGCGGCGCGGCGCGGCGCGGCGTCCGTCCTCGATGGCGCACACCGGCGCCGGCCCCGCGGCGAAGCAGGCGGCCGCGAAGGCCGCGGCGAAAGCCCTCGGCGGCGTCGGCGTGACCCTCGGCGTCGCCTTCGGCGGCCTCACCGCGCTCACCGCGCTCGCGACCGCGGCGTCGCGAGCGGTCGTCGTCGCGCGCAAGCGATCGGCCGGGCACGTCTGCCCGCGATGCGACGGGCGGAAGTACCACGAGTGCTCGACGTGCCGCGGGAAGAGAGCGATCGAGTGGCAGCCTCTGAAGGGGCCGACGATGCGACGGCTGTGCGTGTGCCCGACGTGCGGAGGGAAGACGGGGCTGCAGAAGTGCCTCAACTGCGTCGGGCAAGGGTTCGCGTGAGAGACGACTGACGATGGATTAGAAATAGATTACCAGCCGCCGTCGGCGACGACGCGAAGGCGTAGACGTGACTAGCTACCGAGGCTCACGGCTCACGGCTTCACGGCCGCGAACGCGACCCCCGCGCGGCATCTCTCCGCCGCGCGTTTCAACTCCGCGTCCGCGTCCTCCGTCCACGGCCCCCACGGTCCGATCCCCTGCACGCGCTTCCACTTGCGTTCTTGCAGCGTGCGCAGGCGCGGCGAGTCCCCGACGCCGGTGGCGAGAATCAGCATCGCGTTAGACGGGAGCGCGTCCCACACCTTACCGACGCACGCGTCGAGGTCCATGAGCGCGGCGTCCGCGGCGATGGACTCCTCGACGTCGTCGTACGCGTCCTCCTCCTCCTCCTCCTCCTCCTCCTCCTCCTCCTCCGCGCCCTCGGCGCCCTCGGCGGCCGCGTCGCCGTCGTCTTTCGGTCTCTTCCGCGGCGTCTTCGCGTCTCTTCCCGTGTGCGCCGCCCAGCGCTTGTTGCTCTCCTCCAAGTGCTCGTAGTACCCGTACAAGTGCGCGAAGACCACGTCCGCGCCGTCGCCGCTCGCCCCCGCGGCGTCGGCGTCGGCGGCGTCGGCGTCGGTCGCGGTCGATCGTCGTCGAAGCGGCTTTCGCACCTCGGCGACGATCGCGTCCGTCGCGGCGTCGTCGTGCGCGAGCGCGCGCGCGTCCGTCTTCACGACGATCCCGGTGCCCACCCCGGACGCGAGCCGCCGGACGACGTGCTCCTTGTCGATCACCGCGCACCGCTTCCCCGCGCCGGTGAGCGCCTCGAACACGCTTCCGCCCTCGCTGGACGGCTCCCCGAACCCGGTGCCGAAGACGAACTGCCGCGGGGGGGGGGGTTCGCGGGGATAGCGTCGGTCAGTCGAGGGCGTCGTGACCGGTCGAAAACGAGGCGCGGGGTGAAGCGAGCGGGATGAGAAAGAAATAGAAAATCCTTAAGGAATGGCGTTCACCACGCGAACGGGGTCGTACGGGTGGCGGTGTCGCGCACGTTTACCTTGAGAAGCGCGAGCTCCATCGTCGCGCGCGCGTCCGCCACGGAGTCGTGCGTCCCCTCCTGAATCTTCCGCCCTAAAAACTTTTCCGTCAGACCGCTGAGCTTATTTCGGTACGGCGGCCCGCGCTTGTGCGGGTACAGCGCGACGGTGTCCACGCAGTTGGCGTGCATCATCTTAAGACGTTTCAGGTCGTTCTCCAGCGAGTGCCCCACGAGAATCGTCTCGGCGGCGATCAGCTCCAATAACTCCCTCTGCACGTCCCGCAACGTCGTCGTGACCCCGCGCATTTGCTCCGCGGTGATCCCGGAGTGCGTCGTGTTGTAATCCGTGATCGCCTCCTCCGGCATCACGAGCTTGTCGTAGATCACCGCGCCGTCGGGTCCCACCGCGGACGCCCTCGCGAGTTCCAGCTTTTTATTCTCTCCGACGCCGCTGTAGCACATCTCGCAGTCGATCGCCACCATGGAGAGGTGCGGCGCGCGCGCGATCCCCCCCCCGCTGGGCTGCGTCACGACGTATCCCTCCGGGACGACTAAGCGACGCGATCGATCGTCGACGCTCGCGTCTCCGCCCGCTGTGTCGCCGCCGTCGCCAGCCGCGTCCGCGCCGGCTGCGTCGCCGCCGCCGCCGTCGCCGCCCGCCGCGCGCGCCAGACGCGGGACGGGATACTCCATGTCCGCCATGTCCGCGGCGGACAGGACGTAGTGCGACGGCGGCATCGGCATCTCGCGCTTGCACAGGTCCGCGGCGTTCGTGCTGCCGTACGGCTTCCTCTTCGTCGCGTCGTCGCCGCCGCCGCCGCCGCCGCCGCCGCCGTCGTCGCGGTCGCGGTCGCGCTTCTTCCCCGCCGCGCGATCGCGATCCTTCCTCGTGACGCCGTCCCCCCTCGCCGATCCCTTGTTCGCGTCCACGCTGCACAGCAGCGCGCGCGCGACGCACCACGCGTTCCCGGTCGGGTTATCGAACGTCGTCGCGATCGGCGCGCCCAGCGCCCCGCGCACGCGCGGCGTGTGCTCCGCGCTGGACGCGCACCTCAAGGGTTCGCGTGAGAAAAGCGATGTCGGGGTGGAGTTGAAAGGCGTGAGATGGAGTTGAAAGGCGTCGAGGACGGGGATTGAAAGCGAGGGACCCTGGGCGGAGAGAGACGACGGCAAAAGTCCTTAAGGATCGGCGTTCACCACGCCGACGCGGTCGTATGGGGACCAGTGTGAGATAGAACGCGCCTCGTCGCGTCGATCCCGGGCGCGAGGAGCATCACGACGCGCGACACGAGCGGCTTGTTTCGAACGAACGCCCACCGCGACGGGTTCGCGCCGTGGTCGGTCATGACCCAGGTCACGAGCTCGTGCAGCGCGGAGAGGCGCACGCCGCCGCGCGACGCGCCGTCGGGCTTGAGCGTCACCTCCGCGCGCGCGTCGGCGCCGTAGATCTCGCGCGCGACCTGGGCGCTTCTGATGCCGTCGGCGTCGGCGTCGGCGTCTTCCTCCTCCGCGTCGGGGCCCGCGAGGGTCTTCGCGCGCGGCGGCGGCGCGCTCGGAAGCGCGCCCTCCTCGGACTCGGACTCGGAGTCGCGTTCCATCCCCGCCGCCGCGAAGGGATCGGACGACGTCGACCCGCGCGCGTCGTCGGAGTGATGGATGAGATGCATCGTCGTCTCGGACTTCACCAGCGGAGTTCGGAGCCACGGCAGCGGCAGCGGCAGCGCCCGCCATCGCCACGAAGCCGCGAGCGACGTTTCGGTCACCGCCTTTCAACCGGAGGAGATCACGCGATTGATTGATAGGTTGCTTCCGATCAACGATATCGGTCAAACGAGAATTCCCGCGTCAAAAAATATCGGCGACTGCGACTGGAATGCGACGCGGCAACCCGCAGCGGTCTCGTCTTCTCTCGCTCGACCTCGCCGGCGTCCGCACTCTCGCGCGCGCTCTTTGCCCGAGCCCGCGTCGATCACACTAGCTCACGAACGAAACGCGTGTCTCCGCACACGCCGATCGCCCTCGCGACTTTTACCGCGAGCGATCACATCACGCGCGCTTAAAGACGCGAACGCCGGGAGCGCGCGCATTCCGCGTTTCTCGAGACTCTAGATCTTCGTCGTCTCCGACCGCGCGGAGAACGGCGTAAGGATGCAGCAGGGCGGATACATGGCGCCGCCGCAGGGGTACCAGATGCCGCCGCAGGGGTACCCGCCGCAGCAGGGGTACCCGCCGCAGGGATACCCGCCGCAGCAGCAGCAGTATCAACAGTGCGTCTCCGCCTCGCTTCGCGGGGAAATTCCATCCTCGGTCGTCGCAATTCTTCCAACACACCATTTCCCCGGCATCCGACGCGCTGACGCGCTGACCCCCCTCCTCGTCGTCCGCTCTCCAGGATGCCGCCCCAGCAGATGTACGCGCAGCAGCAGATGTACGCGCAGCAGCAGCCGCCGCCGCAGCAGCAGCAGCAAGGGGACTGGAAGCAGCAGCTCGCGCTTCCCGCGCGAGACGAGCGATACCGGACAGAGGTGCGCGCCACCGCCGATCGATCGCTCCCCCGCGTCTTTCCCGTCGTCTCGTCTCCCTCCCCGGGCGCGGCGCGTCGCGGCGCATTCGACGTCGCCTCGGCCTTCCGCGCGCGCCCTCGCGACGCTTCGCGGCGTCGGGAACGCGGCGACGCGCGTTTGGAGGGCGCGGCGACGTCGCGCCGCGCGGTCGAGCCCGCGATCGCGCGCTTGATCGCGCGCGTCGCCTCGGACGTCGCGTCGCGCAGTCAGTCCAAAGAACACCATCTTCCTCCTCGCGACTGACTGACCTTCCCTCTCTATCCCCTCCCTCGCCGCGCGCTGCTCCTCACTCCAGGACGTCACCGCGACGAAAGGCAACGAGTTCGAGGACTACTTCCTGAAGCGCGAACTCCTCATGGGAATCTTCGAGAAGGGCTTCGAGCGTCCGAGCCCGATCCAGGAGGAATCGATCCCAATCGCGCTCACCGGGCGCGACATCCTCGCGCGCGCGAAGAACGGCACGGGCAAGACCGCGGCGTTCACGATCCCCGTGCTCGAGAAGGTGGACGTCTCGAAGAAAATTATCCAGGCGATCCTCCTCGTCCCAACGCGCGAGCTCGCGCTGCAGACGTCGCAGGTGGCAAAGGAGCTGGGGAAGCACCTCGACGTGCAGGTCATGGTGACGACGGGCGGGACGTCGCTGAAGGACGACATCATGCGTCTGCATCAGCCCGTGCACATCGTCGTCGCGACGCCGGGGAGGTTGGTCGACCTCGCGTCTAAGAACGTCGCGAAGCTGAATAACGCGACGATGCTGGTCATGGACGAGGCGGATAAGCTGTTGTCGCCGGAGTTTCAGCCCGTGATAGCGCAGCTCATCGATTTCCTGCCGCGTAACAGACAAATTTTGCTCTACTCGGCGACGTTTCCGGTCACGGTGAAGGAGTTTAAGGACCGCTACCTGCGCAAGCCGTACGTCATCAACCTCATGGAGGAACTCACGCTGAAGGGCATCACGCAGTACTACGCGTTCGTCGAGGAGAAGCAAAAGGTGCACTGCCTGAACACGCTCTTCTCCAAGCTGCAGATAAACCAGTCGATCATCTTTTGCAACAGCGTGAACCGCGTCGAGCTTCTCGCGAAGAAGATCACCGAGCTCGGGTACTCGTGCTTTTACATCCACGCGAAGATGCTTCAGTCGCACCGCAACCGCGTGTTCCACGACTTCAGGAACGGCGCGTGCCGTAACTTGGTATCGTCCGACCTCTTCACGCGCGGCATCGACATTCAATCCGTCAACGTCGTCATCAACTTTGACTTCCCGAAGAACAGCGAGACGTACCTTCACAGAGTCGGTCGCTCCGGACGGTTCGGTCACCTCGGCATCTCGGTCAACCTCATCACGTACGACGACAGGTTCAACCTGTTCAGGATCGAGCAGGAGCTCGGGACGGAGATTCAGCAGATCCCGCCGGTCATCGACCCGTCCGTGTACTGCCGATAAGTCGTCGTCGTCGTCGTCGCGCGCCTCTCTCTTCGCGAGAGAAGCGCTCGACGCGGCGGCGGCGGCGGCGAAGGAGGAGGAGGAGGAGGAGGAGAGAAGAACGGAACGATGAAGACGACGATTACGGTTACGAACGAAAATAAGTAACGGTGTACAAACGAAAGCGAGAGCGAAGGAACGGCGTTCACCACGCGAACGGAGTCGTATGGGAAGCAGTCTCACCTTCGAGCGTCGTCGAGACGCGAACGGATTTCTGGTCGATGGAAGAGGAGGAGGGAGGAGGTTGAGATTCTATTCTCCCCTCCCTCCCTCCCGCCGCGCGACGATACATTTTGAACGTCGTCGCGCGGTGATCACGAGAACGACGACGACAGACGACAGAACGACGACAACGCGCGACGACGCGAGATGCATGATGAGTTTTCAAAGAGATGCGGCCGGAGCGGGCGCGCCGCCCCCGTCGCGCGGATTGGTTTTTTTTCAATCCGCGCGATCGGCGGCGACGCCGCTTTCGGCGCTCGCATTTATAGCAGAACGATGCGCGGGATTAGATCCTGAGCACCACACACACGAAACAGAGAAGAAAGAAAGGAGAGCCCCGCCCGCCGCGCGCCGCGGGGGATGGGGACGGATGGACGAGGAGGGAGGAGGACTCGGAGACGAGGAGGATGGGAGGCCAATCGCGACGCTGTCGACCAGCGGAGCCCGCCTCGGAGGAAACACGACACGACACGACACGACAAGACTCGAGAAGAGCACCGCGCGAACGGAACGGAGGTAGAGCGCGCGCGAGCTCGCGGGGTTGAGCATTCAAGAAGACGCGAGCGCCGCGGCGTTTTCTCTCTCTCGACGAGGGAGGGAGGACGTCGTCGGCGCCGCGCGCCGCCGCGGAGGAGACGCGTCTCCTCGCGGCGGAAGATCCGCCGCGGCGGAAGATGGAACGTCAACCGCCGCCGCGGATCGGATCCGATCCCATCGCGTTCGACGCGCGAGCGAGTGTGCGCGTTGCGTACCACTCGCGCGGCGCGTCGAACGCGAGGGCGGGACGAGACGACGCGCGTCGCCGACCTCGCGGAGGACGGCGGCGGCGCGGAGGAGGATGGAAAAAAAACCAGATTTTTGATTTTTTTAATCGAAGAAAAAAACGAACGCTTCGGTTCACCATCGCGTCCGTCGTCCGTCGTCCGCGCTATCTATCTCGCACCGACCGCGTCTCGCGCTTCTTCGCTTCAGCGATTTTACGCCGCGGTACCCCCCCGCCGTCCCGTCCCGTCGCGTCGGTCGCGTCGCGTCGCGTCAGTCCCCGCCGCCGCCGCCGAATCGCTTCCCGACCCAGATGGTCTCCCCGCTCGGCGTCAGCAAAAAGTTGTCGTCCCGCAGCAGCCCGCGCGGGATGATCACGTGACGATACGCCGCGCTGCACTGGTACCCCACGCGGTGCGGGACGTACGACGCGAACAAACCCCACTTGTCCCCGCACCCGTGCTCTTTCGCGACGCGCACGAAGTTTTCAATCTCGTCTTCGCCCCAGTCGCCGTGCCACGTGTCTTCGTTCGGCTTGTTGTGTCGGTAGAAGAACGCGTTGGGATTCTTCAACAGCATCCGCCGCGCGAACTCCTTCGCGCTCTCGCCCTTCGACGGCTTCCGGTCCGCGGCGCCGCTTCCCCCGCCGTTCTGTTCCCACGCGCTCGCGGCGTCGTCCGCGATCCCGAGCTCCGCGCGCGTCTTCGGTTCGACCCACCCGCGGAAGTGTCCGGACACGAGCGGACCCGGCTCTTTGACGCCCCGCAGCTCGCACCACTCCAGGCACGTCAGGTGCTTCGGCTCGTCGAGGTAGTCCTCGCACGCGGCCGCGATCGCGGCGTCGGAGGCGTACTGCCCGCAGGCGTCGGCGCCGTCCGCGTTGGAGGCGCGCTCGCCGCGCTGGCGGCGGGATTTGCGCGGCGGAAGCGCGGGCGCGGGCGCTTTTTTTTTCCGCCGCCCGTCGCCGCTCGGCGCGCGTCGGACCGCGCCGCCGCCGGCGCCGGACGGCGCGGTCGCGAGCGCGCGCGCGGTGTCGTGCACTCTGAGCGATCGGAGCACCTCCTGGTTCCTTCGGATGTTCTCCTGCGCGCGCGGGGGGGGTCGGGGCGGGAGGACGGTTTGACGAGGTGAGCGGGGTGCCCAGATTCGAAACGCCATCGCGACAGACGACGGACAGGACGCGCGCACCTCGCGCTTGCGCTCGTACTCGTTCACGGGCTCCGCGGAGGACTCCGCGATCGACGCCGCGGGCTGAGCCGTCGTCGCCGCGACGATCGCGACCGGCGGCGCGTCCGACGCGGAAATGACCTTCCGCGGTGCCTTTTTACGCTCCGGCGCGGGCGCGGTCGTCGTCGTCGTCGTCGTCGTCGTCGTCGTCGTCGCCGCGATCGGCGGCTTCTTCGGCGACGGCGACGGCTTCTTCTTCGCGGACGCGGCGTTCGGCGAGACGATCGCCGCGGCTAACTTCGCGCACGCGTTCTTGAGCTCCGGGCTGATCGGGACCCGGTTCTCTTTCGTATCGCTCGGGGGTAGCGTCGACATGACGGCGGCGCCGCGACGAATGCCGCGCGCGCGGGGTCGTGGTGCCTGTATTCAAAAAGTCCGCGCGGTGTCCTCGTGCCGAGTCATCACTGCAAGCGTCACCGTTTCGAGTCGACTTGTCAGAGGGGAAAGATTGCGCGACGCGTCGCTCCCGGACGTCTCTCCCCCGCGCTCATTCTCGCGCGCGGGGTCACGCCGTCCGCCCTCGCGCGCTCGCTCGCGCCCTTCATCGACGCGCGCGCTCGCGGCCCGTCGTCCTCGCGCGCGTCGTCCCCGCGCCCGAGCTTCGCGCGGCGTCACGAAACGAAAAAACATCACGCCACCCGGCGACTCCGACACCCCTCTCGGAAAGAATCGTTCCCATCCCGCGCGACGGACGATGCCTTCCACGCTGACGCACGAGCGCGCGCGCCACGCGCGCTTGAGGCAGGCGGCGGAGCGCAAGCTCGCGCGGTTCGAGCGCCAGCGCGCGGTTCGAGAGACGTCGCGCGAGCTCGAGCGCCTCAAGGACGAGTGCGCGAAGCAGATCGCGCAGATCGACGACGACCGCGCGCACTCGCTTCGGCCGTCGTGGCAGTTGCCTCCGGGGTTCAAGTGCGTGCACTTCGCGGGGCAGGGCGAGTTCTACTGCGTCGTCGCGTGCAAGGGCGACGCGTTCGTGAGCGTCGTCGACGGCGAGACGTCGTTCAGGCTCGGAAGCACGCTGCTGACGAAGCGCGGCGCGCTGGGATGGGCGCCCGTCGACTGCTGCTTCCTCGCGTACGAGACGCCGATGAAGGCGCTGGAGGCGCCGTTTCCGAAAACGGCCAAGGCGTTGACGTTACCGCGGGTGTTGTTGAAAGTCACGACGACCGGGAACGCGTACGAGGAGCACAAGCGGCACGGCGGCGTGACGAGGTGGACGGGGAAGGTGGCGCTGTCGCGGCTGACGGTGACGCGCGTCATGACGGATGCGTTTCGGCCAGACTTGCGAGACCCGACGTTCTTCCGGATCCGGAAGTCGTTCGGGAAGGCGTGACGGCATAAAGAAGTGGGTGGTCGCGTACGTGTACGTGTATCATAGGCGGCGCTATGACTGGATTGGAGAGTGTCGTTGTACAGATCGCGCGAAGGAATCGGAACGGAAAGAATAACGCTCGATGGGCGTCGGTTACGTCGTCGTCGTCGCGACGACAAAACCAAAACTACCCTCCCATCGCGTACGAAGGCGCGGAGAGATTAATCACCGTGCTCTTCGTCTTCGTCATGCACTCGATCGAGTTCCTCACGCCCTGGGACCCGATCCCGCTGTCTTTGAACCCCTGGAACGGGAAGTGATCCGGCCCTCGCGCGGGCGGCCCGTTGATTTGCACCGTCCCGGTTTCCATCGCGTCCCCGAATCGAATCGCGCGGTCCACGTCCCTCGTGAACACGCACCCTTGCAAGCCGTACTTCGACTCGTTCACGTACCTCAACGCCTCGATCTCGTCCGTCACGCGCACGACGGGCACGACCGGCCCGAAAGGCTCCTCCCAGCACAGCCGCATGTCGTCCGTGACGCGGTCGACGAGCGTCGGCCAGATCAGATTCTCTTCGCGTCGCCACGACCCGGTCATCGCCACCGCGCCCTTACTCAGCGCGTCGTCGACTAAACCCTCGATGAAGTCCGCGGACTTGGCGCTGACGACCGCGGTGATGTCCGCGTCGTCCTCGGGCTGACCCACGGTCAGCCTCTCGACTTTCGCGATCACCTTCTCGACGAGCGCGTCGGCGATCTCCTCGAACGCGACGACGAGCTGAGGGTCGAGCGGGGTGGAGTTGAAAGGCGTCAGAAGCGGATTTGAAAGGCGTCATAGGGTCGGGCGTTGAAAGCGAGGGGTTGTTGGGCGGAGAGAAACGCCGGGAAGTAAAGTCCTTAAGGATCGGCGTGCACCACGCGAACACGGTCGTATGGGGACCAGAGTGGAAATAGAACGCGCCTTCACCGCCGTGCACCGCTGCCCGCTGTACGAAAACCCGCCCTTCACGATGGCCGCCGCCGCGAGGTCCAAGTCCGCGTCCGGGAACACCACGCACGCGTCCTTCCCGCCGAGCTCCATCTGTATGGGGACCATCCGCGCGTTCCTCGCGACGCTGATCCCGGTGTCGCCGCCGGTGAACGAGATGCAGTTGGCGCCTCGGTGAGACGTCAGGTAGTCCCCGATCTCGCTGCGTGGGTGAAGCGATCGGTCAGTCGAACGTCTTACCAGTCAAACGTACGTTGAATAGGAAGCGCGGGTGAAGAGTGACGACGGGAAAAGTCCTTAAGGAACGGCGCGCGCCACGCGAACGGGGTCGTACGGGAAGCAGTCGGAAGCGGTCTCACCTCCCGCGGCCGGTCACGACGTTGATCAGCCCCGGCGGCATCCCGGTGAGCGCGGAGGCGAAACACTGCGCCGTGAGCAACCCCGCGACCGCGCCCTGCGTCGGCGGCTTCACGACGACCGCGTTTCCCGCGATGATCGCCGGCGCGATCTTCGACACGGCGAGGTTAACGGGATAGTTGAACGGCGGGATGCACAACACGACGCCGAGCGGCACCTTCGTCACCATGCACAGCTTGCACCGCGACGTACCCTTCCACGCGTCGCTGTGCAGCAGCCCTCCCTCGCTCAGCGCTCGGAGGCCTTCCTCCGCGGCGTAGTCGACGAGGTCGGCGCTTCGCGCCACCTCGGCTTTCGCGTCTTTGGCGGATTTGGCCACCTCGGGGTCGTTCCATACAAAGCGAAGTCGGGGTGGAGTTGAAAGGCGTCAGTTGGAGTTGAAAGTCAACGCGGGCGGGTATTGTGAGCGAGGGATGGGCGGAGAGATACGCCGGGCAAAGTCCTTAAGGATTGGCGTTCACCACGGCGACGGGGTCGTACGGGGACCAGTGTATAGAACGCGCCTCGATCACGAGCGCGTCGGCGATTGGCTTCCAGTGCGCGCGCATCAGCGCCGCGGCGCGGTGGAGCGCCGCCGCGCGCTCGTGAAGCGGCGTGCGCGCCCATCGCTTATGCGCCATCTTCGCGCGCTCGTACGCCTCGTCGACGTCGTCCGCGGTGCACGCCTGGAACGAGAACGCGGGCGCGTTCGATCTCGACGGGTTCGCGTTCGTGACGACATTCGGACGACGCGAAGACGCGCCCGCGGGATGATCGGCGGCGGCGGACGCCGAGCGCCACTCGCCGTCGCACAGGAACTTGTACGATCCGTCGGAGGCGTCGCGCAGCGGCGCGTAGAACGTCTCGTCGTCCACTTCGTCGCACGGCGTCGTCGTCATCGTGGACGGGGAGGCGAGGGGTTCTGTCGAGGTTGCCGTCGGACCTGTCCGAACGATGGTGATGATGTCCTCTCTCTCGCTCTCACCAAGCGCCGCGACGACGACGCGGCGACGCGAGCGGACGCCTCTCCTCTCGCGGCGGCGCGCGGTTCGCGCGCCGCCCGAGCTCGGGTCGCCGCGAGAAGAAGCGCGCGCGGCGGCGGCGCGTCCGCGCGTCGTCCGTCTCTCTCGAGGCGCCGCGCGCTATGACGGGCGGCGCGGCGGCGGCGTCGGACGCGGGAAAAAACCCTGCAGAGAGAGATCCAGATCATCTGCCGACGCTCGCACTGCCCGTCGCCTCTCGCTTCCCGTCACAAGTCACTTCAGGCCGCGCGTCTTCCCCGCCGCTCCCCCCGCGCCGTCGTCGCCGCCGCCCGCCCGCCCGCCCGCCATGACGTACTACAGCGTCCTCCCCGCGGAGTACGAGGAGACGCGCGCGACGCCGCAGCAATACGCGTGGCCGCTCGCGCACGTCACCACGACGGGTTACGACCACGCGACGTCCGCGCCGCCGCCGGGGACGACACACGACACCACCACGAGCACCGTCGCGGCCGCCGCGAAGCTCGTCGCGGGCGAGTGCCACTCGCTCGTCGCCGCGCTGTGCGACGAGCTCGAGGAGGCGCGATCGCGCGTGGGCGTGCTCGAGCGCGCGCTCCATCGCGCGAACCAGCGCGCGGTGCGTTCTATACACTGGTCCCCATACGACCGCGTTCGCGTGGTGAACGCCGTTTCTTAAGGACTTTTGCCGGCGTGTCTCTCCGCCCAGGGTCCCTCGCTTTCAATCCCCGCCCTCGACGCCTTTCAACGCCAACTGACGCCTTTGAACTCCACCCCGACGTTCGCTCGTATGGAACGACCCTCAGATCCACGAGCTCGGGCGGTACGCCGACCGCGTGAGCGACCTCGAGCGCGACCTCGCGGAGTCGCGGCGCGCCGCGGGCGGGCGCGAGGAGGAGGTTCGGACGCTGCGCATGAGCGTC